AAATCTCAGATCTGCATGCATGAGCAGTAAAGCACTTTACTGACTGAACTACCTCCCCAGACCGAAATAATTTAGAAATAATCTCAAAGTCTCAAACCCAGACTTCAATTTAAAAAGCCATGCACCATAAAAAAACTACAGGCTTGAGGATATATTAAGTAATTATAATTCAACTTCATAGACATTTAAAAAAAATGTAATTGGAAATTTAAAAAAGTAACATTCAAATACGCCAATAAATTAGAGACACCTATTTACTATCTGCATCTGTAGGTTTTAATAACTTCATAAATGTGTGCCCAGATAAACTGGCATTATTCCTTCTAAGAACCGGCTGGAAGACTACACATGTCTCATGCGAATACAGCAGAATTACAAGCTGGAAAGTAGAGTCAGAGTACAAAGTCAAAGATATTAGCTAACTGTAGTCTATCCCATTAGGATAAGAGGATACATGAAAAAATCTGTAAGTGGTAGTCTCTGCCTTGTAAATTTAACTAAGCAAACTCAAAGGCACACAGTTCTCAAACTGCAACACCATAAAGACATTTCCTTTCTGAGTACCAAAACTATAGTTATAACACCTTTCAAGTTAGCCCCACTATTAACCAGCAACCAATTAGGACATTAAAAAAGTGTAACTTACCTCTATAAATTTGTTTAAGGTCGCATTGGTTGGATTGTGTGTAATAAGGAATCTCATGTTCTTGTATGTGACTTCCACAGGAGCAGGGCGGTTCATTCGAGCCATGTTAATTTAGTTTTAAAAAACACCCAATAGGGTTATGAAAGAATTAAAAAATTGAATACAGAAATGATGAAAAAAAAAAAAAACAAAAAAACAAAATGAAACCAAAACAAAAAACAACCTGAAGTCTACTTCAATATTCAATATACTCCACTTGAAATCTCAGTGCTTTGAGTATGAACTTGGGAGAAATGGGCAATGAAATGAACCTCCTAACAAGAAGCAGTGATTCTTCAATCCAGTAATACTGAGGCAATACAAAGGAAGTGCACTGAGGTTTACCCCATCCAGGTCTGAGCTCTTGTAAAATGCTCTGCAGATTTCAATTCAACACGTCTGTGTCCAGGTTATCCACTCTTATGGGGGCTTCTTGGTGGAGTAGTAATGAATTTCTACAGTTCACTTGTCTGCATAGAGGTCGTGCTGTGCCTGGCAGTAATCTCCACTGCCCTTCAGAAACTCCATAAATGTGTGACCAAGAACACCACAGAACTGCTGTTTAGAAGAAAAAGAAAGAAGAAGGGAAAAAAAGTTATTTTCCAATTCAAAAGGAACATGTCAGGCTTTTCCACTAAGTACACAACTATGCTCAAATTAAGAGACACCAAGAAGTCAGCTTTTACTCAATTACAAAATTCAAGGTGACATGCATTTTAAAATCAATAGGCCTATTGTACGCAGTCACAAGCCCATTAAAGTGAAGTTGCTAGTCAATTATAAAGAATATTCAAAGAAAGTCACTGCTACATTTGGTGGAATTCCCATATACACATCTATACACAAATATATTACATTGATTACTCTTAAGTTATTTTTATACTGGTTCAAACTATATGCATTATTTTCTATATCGACTTATCTTGCTGTTTACACACTAGTATAAACTTCATGTGGTTTGAATCTCTCAGTTTTTGCATAATTTACTGAACTCATACTGAGAGACACTTCAGTTCTTTTAAGCTACTGTGATAAAAGGAGTTATCTGTTGTGTGATCTTTCTACAAAGATAGTATTTTTAATGCAATTATTTCTCAATAATTAGCTTTTACATTTTAGTCACTAAAGATTAAATATGATAAAGTCATGCCCACTTTTCCCTTTTGTATTTTCTATCATCTCCTTGACATTTAAAAATAATTCATGTGCAGTTACATTACAGTTATAGCAGGTTCTAAGTATAAGAACTCACCAAGCATGTCTCAAATCATGGAAAGGGACATGGAAACAGCACTGTCACTAAACTCTGGTGAATTGTGTGAGGGTGTGATTCTAGCCTAATGGACTCATCCTGAGAAGACTGACTGGAATGCTAGGCTATCTTGTTTCCATAAACCACATTGCATTGAATGATTACTCTCTACGTGAAACCACAAGAAATTTCCTGCTTAAAAATTAGTAACTCCTAAGAGCTTTTATATTTTCATGTCATCTCTTAGGTTTCCAATTAAATTGGCTCTTACAAATACAATTACTTAAGGGGTCTTCAACCATATAGTCTTAAGACAAATTATCTTCAAATAAAATATACACTTTACCTTTTTCCTATTTTTAAACTCCAGTTTCACTTATATGCTCTAAACTAAAACCCAAAGGAATTAGAAGAATTTATGTTAAGACTTTTTATATGGTCTCAAACACAAGGTGACTATGATTACTAACTTATAAATACATTTCATTTCCCCTAAGTTCCTCTTTAAAAATTAAATCAGTTTCATGTCTGCACCAAACAGTAGATTAATATTCAGAGGGCATTTTTTTTTTCAGAGTATGTGCATAAAAAGCTTTTCGAATAAACCGATTAGAGGTAGATGAACATTAACAAAACGCTTTGCTGTCCATCTCCTCTAGGCAGGTTGTGTAGAAACTAAGGAATGCACTCAATGACAAGAACACTCAAGGACAAGCACTGCCCCAAACACATCATCTGTATCCTTCAGAAGGAACTGCCAAAGTAAAAATCTTCAAATAAAATCAGCCAAAATTCCAGTCTATTTTTTTTGGGGGGGGGGGGGGGGTAAAACAAAGAACTAATACTAAGATTTTATTTACTAAAAAGGTACCACAAGCAAGACAACTTAGTCCTATGTTTTCTGAAGTGACTCCTCACAAGATAGTTATCTGCCCCGTGGGTTAAAAAACCTGTCGTCTAAATTCTAAATTATCAGTAAAGATATTACTACCTCAAGGAGTAGACTCTAATATTAAATCATTGTTATGCATCTTTTGAGGCATGGTTTCTTGTCCTAAGCAGTCTTTTAGTAAATTTGGCACTTTTTTGACCATACACTGGACGGGACACAAAGCTTTTTAAGAGTTCCATCAGGAAGCTGGAAAGCAAGGGGAAAAAAAAAATTCCTGAACTGGTATGAAATGAGTGGAGCCACCCAGTGGCTGGAGGACACTTCTATTAGGAGTGGTGACCACTGACATCCTTCTAATTAATATGCCCCCATTCCCTCACAGGCAAAAACTAAACATGATAGGCAGCTCAGACACACGAAGAGATCTCCCTATTTTAACTGCATAAACAGCACACACAAAACATGGAGAAACAAACGTGTGTGTGTGTGTGTGTGTGTGTGTGTGTGTGTGTGGTGGCATTAGCTTAAGTCAGTTTGTTGGACTGCAGAAATCAAGCCAGTCTGTAGAACCATCTACTTTGTCCAATTCTGTTCCAAATACTGCGAGGTTTCTGGTAACGCACCCAAT